GAGTTATGATTTTTTCTAATGAAAATTGAATTAAGGGTAGTCGGGGGTGTATTCAATTAATTGACAGAAAAAATATTCCTAGCAACGAATTTCCTTTTGGAATTATTTTTCTGCTTCTATTATTATCAGTTGTTTGTACAATTTCAATAAAATGCGGTTCATTTCATAAAAAAAAAGATTTTCATCATCATTTGAATCATTTCCAATCACGTCAGTTCGTTTCCAGCAATGAGTCTATCAATGTAAAAATTTCCATGGCTAGCCATGTGAATAATTGCGGTGAAACGACCTATGGTGGAATAGCGCGCTCGCCTCTCTTTCACCAAACACGTGGATGAAAACACATGGCTACCTTCACACTGGTTACAATGGGTAGGTTTCGAGACAAGCTTGAGGGTGTCGCATTGAAGGTTTATAGCTGAATATCCCCAATCCCGTGATATTAACCCTATTTTGACTAATATGATTGGATTACAATAAATATCACAAGTTCCAAGTGGAAACACAAACGCCCGAAAATATTCCGAGTGATCAAGCGAATGCAACAGAGAAGGCGATTACATTAAAATTTCAGCATTTAGTAAATCATATCGTTTTACGAGTTTATAAGATCTCTCCCATGAAACATTGATAAAAATCAAAACATGAGATGGTCTGCAGGAGTGATAAAACTGAAATTGGGTGTGATCATATTTTTTGAAATTTTCAACTCATTTCCAATTCCCTATTTTATATAAATAGGATAAGTTAGGCCAGCCGCACACAGGTAACTTCATACAAGCAACTTAATCACAAAAACATTTTTTCTTATTATCTGGGTACTCGGCTTCGCTCAGAAAGTTGATATGTGATTGTGTAATACTTGGAATAAGAGGAAAAACTTTCAATCATAAGAGGTCGACTCCTGTTTATCTTATCTTGTTTTATACACTCCCACCAAAGGAAGAGCCCTACCAAAACGAAAAAGTCATCAAATGGTCCTCAATGTTGCAAGAATATTGTGGAACGTTCCGGGATGTTTTGGTATTTTGACGTGTCATAAGTTGCAGGGACCATGGCAAGGACCTTACTTGGGAACCAAAAAGATAAACGATCTGGTGTACATAATCCAGTTGTCACCCAGAAGCAAGTCTAAAGTTGTCCACATAGAAAGGCTGAGTTCTTACATGGGACGTAATGTCCCCTCTTGGAATGTTGTTTGGGGCGAACAACCTCAGGGAAGGGGGTAGTGTTGTACGTCATGCCCGAAAGGAAATAACGCCGGTCACCACTGGTAGCCATAAACCAATGGTGACGTAGCTAAGAGCGCGCGAATGTACAATGTTACCTACCACTCTAGAAGCAGCGAGAATAATGCTACCGATTTCGACGGAATTTAGGCGTAATTGTTCTTCTTCTCTTCTACGTTCATCTTTCTGTCTCCTGCGTTTTCATTTTTCTGTATTTTACCTTCATCTTTTTCTCTTTTGCGATTTTCATTCTCCATCAGGCCCGCTTGCAAAGCCTCGAACATTTTCTTAAGCTTTTCCATCTCGTCGTAATTGACACTTCTTGTTTTCACCAGAAAACAGTAAATTGCCCTAGTAAATTTCGACGAAATTCCGTCGAAATCGATAGTATTATTCTCGATACTTCTAGAGTGGTAGGGAATATCGTACACTCGCGCGCTCCTAGCTACATCACCATTGGTTTATGGATACCAGTGGCGTCCGGCGTTATTTTCTTTCGGGCATGATATACAACAGTTTGTTGTGCGATACCCTCAAATGTTCAGGAGCGGTTAAAAAAAAATCTGAATTTCGATAGCTATAAAAGCAATCTCGATTGTATCAAACATATAATAAAACCGTAAATTTTCCAAAGACTTTCGTGGTATGTTGGTGTCTCATTTGTATTCTCGTACTTGAAAAAAACCTTTTTACGAGAAAGGACTTACTCAAATACAGCCTGTATTCCCGTCTGAGATGCTATTTCCTTAGCTGTTATTACAGTTGACGAGTAACTCCTAAACTGTTTCTGAGAACTTCCCCAATAGCTGTGATATGTTACTAACAATGTTAACTTGCAATAATATTTCGTACCAAGCCACCAGTTTGAGTATGAATTCACATGCTTCTTGTACTGAATCAATGACAATGCTTGCGATGCTACAACTTTCTTCATGGAGATTAAATAGGGCATCAAGAGCTGAGAAATAGTTATAGCGAACCGCAGGAAAACAATACTTTCCCATCGCTATCACAATTTTTTTTCAAGAATAATCCTATGTGCTCACAGCTTTTATGACCCATGGAATAAAATAGTCTTTGCAATACCTCAAATGGGGAAACCGATTTCACCGACGTTTTGCCAGCATCCGCTACAACCAGATTTGAACTGACAGCGACACGAATTAAAAAATGATCGATAATATTGTTTTGTTCTGGACGCATTTTGTTTTTCTTGCATACTGACACCTTTGGCGTATTCTTGATCACGGTAATTGTTCATGTTAGTGACACACAGAAATTGTATACTTTCTTTCAGTTATAATATACTGACAAGCACTGATAGCAGGGCATATACGCTTACATGTTTGTTTTGTTATAGTGTCTCATCAAATACAATCTGATGAGAATTTTAGATGAGTACTTATCTACCTAAAGACTTCAACCTTTAAAGTGATTCACATGTCAATAAAAACCAAAGTAATTGCAACTTTTCTTCATCACGCGAGTTGCATCGAATATGTTCTGATGTATTAATTTAAATTATGTGGTCTAAAGAGCATGTCCATGATATGCAAACTGAGGTATTTATTCATCAATTCATTTATTCACAGGTAACTCCCAGTGTTAATTTGATAAAAATCAATTTTAGTTTCCATCTGAATAGTTTTCAAATAATAAGCTATTCTTAAAATATAAAAATATGCCACTGTGGAT